CTGCACTCTTGGACAGTTTGGGATATCCTTGGTGGGAGGTCGGCCGAAAGAGGATACGATAAGTGTCATGCTGTGGGATTGCATGCAGTAACGCCCGCAAGCGTGGCGAGGGAAATGATGGAGCGCGAGGCGAAGAAGAGAAGGAACGGGTCAAGGTCAAAGCTCTCAGAGAGGCTGGCCAACTCAACGGATATGAAACTCAGTTTCCCCCACGGCCGTCTGGAGGCTGACCAGGGATCAATGCGACGAGACATCGCGCGATGGATTTGCACACGTTGACACCTGAACGGGGGAGGAAAAGCAGAACATCACGGCCGACCCTCCCACAGAGGCTGCCCAGACGTGTGGAAGACCGCGGCTCTTTGGCCGAGGGACCTCCTGGCCTCGTCCCTTGGCGCGGCCCACAACACTGGAAGTACTTCCCTGCTTACTCAGAGGAGCTCCGTGCACGCGCAGGCCATCCGTATCATGGCGGCCGTCCTGGACCATCCCATCAGCACACGAGACGCTGCTGGCAGACGGCTCGGCTCCTAAAGGGAGCGCGGCGAAGGACTCCAGCTGGGGCGTCGGAGGGGGCCCGCAAGAGCCCGAAGAGTGTGAGCTCGTCATCGACGGCGCGCCGCGACAGGAGAGCTGCCACGGTCCGTGGCGAACTGGCGAGTGGAGAGACGACTATTCGGGGAAGGTGCCAGCCCTGACCGGGGGCTCCCCACAGTGAAATACTCCACGTCGGGGTCCAAACTCTGATATTCATAAGGCTTCTCGGGTTTGTCTGGCTCGGGGCCAGAAGAATCCGCCGAACCCAGCTTGCTGGGGGTGAGAAGGCGCGTGAGATGATGGGATGCCCCTTTCCCCCTTTCCCCCTCCCCGAAATCCAAAATCCCGTTTGAGGGGAAGGGCGGGGGGGGGGGGCACGGGGGCCGTTGCGCCTCCTAGGCCCTCAGAGCCTCGAGGTCCACTCCCGGCGCCTCGAGCATGCCCAAAATGCCTCGGCAATGCCCAAGACAGTCCAAGAGGGCGTCGAGATTGCTCAAGAGCGCCCAGAGGCGACCAAGATGCCCTCCTGGCGGCCACAAAAGCCGCAGACGCCCAAAGATTACCCTATTCTCGCCTGTATCCGCTTCCTACGCTCCACGACGGCCTAAGAGAACCCCAAGATCACCACACGGCGGCCTAAGAGCTTCCCCAGAGGGCTCCTGTGGCCCCAGAAGGCCCGATGACCGCCGAGGAGGCCCCCAAAACGACCTCAAAGCCCATCACAATGGCCCAAAGCAGGAGAGCTTTTTCCCGAACGCTGCACCCAAGACACCTAAAACTTCAGCAAATGCCCCCAATTCTCTCAAGACCCTCCAAGAGTCTCCAAGTTGCCCCAGGAGGCACCAAGAATACCTCCAAGGGGCCTCCCAAAAGACCCCGAGAAAGCTCCCAAAGAGGCTGCTTGTGGAAGACTCAGGCACATTGGCATGGTCGCCCGACGGCGCTTCGAGATCATTCACGACGGCTTCAAACTCCTGAAGCCGTCTTGGGCGCCCAGCGAGCATCTTCCCTCCAGGAGTCGGCGGAATGACGTAAGCCTCTTAGATACAAACATCTGTACATAGAATAAGCGGCCAGAGCACAAATCACACCAAATTCCACCATTGCCACATACTTCCAGTGCTGGTCGCACTCCGGCGGGTCCCTTGTAGCGCTCGCCACGCAATCGCACGGCGTCACCGGCTCCTGCGGCAGCGGGCATCGGTCGTCGAACAGGAACTTCCAGTCGCCCTCGGAGACGGGGAGTGCGATGAGATCCCCGCTGCCGTCGAGCAGCGTGAACCAATAAATGTTTAGAAGAAGAAACAAAGGTACAAACCTGAATTGTCGGAGCTCCGCCCAAATTTCTTGGATCTGCGTTGGGACCAGGAGCGGCACCAGAGGCACCGCAGCGGTGTCCAGCTCCGTTCCAAGAAATCCGCACAGACCGTCGATTTGTGTTGTTTGTGCCGTTTTTTCTTCTTCTCATGGAAGGATTCGAACTCCCAAAACGCAGCAGCTCCATCGAATCATACGAGCCGAGGAATTGATCCTCGACGCACAGGGAAAGCTCCTGCAGCAATGTATCTGCGGAATCTCCTTGGCCCTCTGGCACCTTCTCGCCGACCTGTACGACTATGGACTCCTCTGTCTGATTTGGAATGAGTGTATAGCACATCCACACCACAGAAGTATTCACCAAACCTTCCCACTTGCTGTGCGTCTCGAATGGCATGCCTGTCGGGTTTTCAGCGACGGCCCGACTGAAATTCCGCAAGTGCAAATAACAACCCTTGTTGGGTGAATTCGCTGGCGAAGCGAATCCGGAGCACCGTGGCCCTCCGCTTGCGAGTTCGATCACGCACTTTTTGAAACAGTCGTGCTTATCGTAATCCTCAAACCAATACCTGCCGTCGTCCATATTCAAGGGATGCGTGCCGTCCTCACTGCAAAAACTGGACTCACCCGATCTCCAACCGACGGGATGGACTGATGCGAAACTTCCTGTGAAGTGCAAGTCGGCCGAGCCTTCTTCATGCGTTGTGGTTGTCGTGGTCGTGGCCATATGTGGGCAACAAACGCCATCGACTGCACCGGCCGCGCACATCCAGTGCAAGAGTTTTGAATCGTGTGTGGTGCTTTTTCGTAATGCCACTGTCATGCCAATAACCCTGCCATCTGAGCATTGGTCAAACATCAGACGGAGCTGAGGTGAGGGACCCGCTGAATACACTGCAATTGTATTCAGGTCACACACGGTCTTGTTCACCTGCCCCTCCACTCGAAAGCTCACCGAGGGTGGAGGCGATACCGCAGTATGGTTTAAACTTACTTTCCATGCTCCCATGTGGGAGAACAGGTTCGAGGAGATTTTGCCAGGACATTCGATTGCATCTGGAAGGAATCTTTCCAAGCTCGGAAGGAAGGGCTGGTACTCTCTGTCGATCGAGCAGCTTTCCGAGCGCCACTGCTGGTACAAACTTTGGAATGGCACAGGTGACGCCACTGTTGCAATATTTACTTCGAGCGCATGGATGCATGCATATCCGCCACAGTGCCGCGAGGCACTGAACAAAGTCAAATGGCCAGAGGACTTTCCGCGCCCAGAGGCCTGAGAGCACGGTAATGTGCTAAGAGGGTACCATGAAGGCCCCCGGCCGGTCCAAGAGGGCCGCAATGCAGCCTCTGAGCGCTCCGAGACGACGGCACAAGACGACCTCAAGACTCTAAGACGGCCCAAGAGACCCCGAGACCTCCAGAGGGGGCTGCAAAAGGAGCCTCCTGGCAGTGCAAAATCGTTGTTGATTGTCCTGAGGTTTTGGAATGGTTGTAGCGGGCCTGCCTTTTCGGGCTTCCACCTATCCAAGACGGCCCAGGAGGCCCCAAGATCGCCCCGACACTGCCCAGGACGCTCCCAGACCGTGGCTGCCCAGGACGCCCACAAACCTTGGGAGCCACTTCCCCTACATACTTCCGCCAATATCCCAAACATGCTCCCCAGAGCCCCCAGAAGCGCCCCAGAGCCCCCCGAGAAGACTCTAAAAGTCCAAAAGGCTCCCGGAGAGGCTCCGAAAGGCATCACAAGAGGCCTTCAAGACCTGGAGACATCCCAAGAGACTATAACAGGCATCCAGGAGGCCTCTGGCCCAAAAGCCAGGCACGGTGGCGGGATGGGCAGAAAGCGACTAGATCCGCCGCCCCCCGTGGCTTGCAACAGGGGTGCACGGCGTGCTGGACGTTCTATATTCGTTTGTCCTTTGTTATTCAAGGTTCCGATGGGCATTCGGCCGGCCCCGCTGGCAACCCGGAAAGACCCACAACGCCACGAAAATACCCTAACCGTCGCTTCTTCCCTATGAAACGGCTCATGGCCTCTGACACGGTTGAGATGGCCTCCAAGAACCACAAGCTGTCTCCTAGACGGCCCAAGATGCACCCAAGACGGCCTAAGACGACCTCACAATGGCCCAAGACGACCCAAGAGGCACCCACGAGGCCTCCAAGTCGGCACAAGAGGCCTCCGACAAAAAGAGGACTGCCCCATGAGGCCAAAATCCGTAATGTTCGCGCTTGCTCAGTTCGGCCTTCCCACGGCCCAAGACAGCTCCAGAGGCCACCAAGATGGCCCCAAGAGAGCCCAAGGTCTCCTAGATGACCCGCTGACCACTCAAGAGACTCCCAAGACGTCCTCAAGAGGGCCCCAAGACGGCTCAGGATACCTCTAAAACGCCCAATATGGCCTCCATGACGGCCCTGAAGCGCTGAAGTCGGCCCGAAGACAGCTTCCGACGGCGTCAGACGGGCCAGGAACGCCCTCAGACAGCCACAGAGCCTCCCAAGAAGCTTCCAAAGACCCCCACGAGGCCCAAGGAAGCCTCCAGGAGGCCTTCAAGAAGCCCCCTGGAAGCTCCCAGGAGGCCCGAAGATTGCCCCAACTCCTAAGAGGCCTCCTCCCCCTCCTCTACCTCCTCTTTGCTCCTCGCCCTTCTTCTCTTCCTCTTTCTCCCCACGTGTTTCTGGAAGGGTTTCCACAACGGCTGAGGGAACACACAGTCCGATAGCTTGATGTGGCTCTGGCCGCAACGTTCGGCCACATATGCGCATCCAAAAGGCAGTGGGCGGCGGTGATTCGCCGTAGGCCTCTTCGACCCGCCGCCCCAGTTGCTTGCCACAAGGTGCTCAGCGTGCCAAGTGTTCAGCTAAACGTGTTGTCCCTTCCGGCTCAACCCGCCAGCCACCGGGAAAAACAGAAAAGGAGTTGCCTCCGCCTCCAAGACGCCAAGATGACGTCCAAAACTGTATCCAAGATGGGCCCACGACGACTCCAAGACATCCAAGGTGGCCTAAAAAGATGCAAATATGGGCCCAATATGCCTCCGAAGCGGCCCAAGATGGCCCCAAGACGGCCCATGACGACCCAAGACAGCCGTAAGACGGCTCAAGAGACTACCAAGACTACCCAAAACAACTGTAAACAGCTATCGAAAAGATACTATCATTCATATCCTATAACTTTCGAGTGTGTGTAATGCTCCCGTGTTTTTAAGCTCCCGACGGCCCAAGATGGTAGTAGAGGCCTCCAAGACAGCCTCAAGAAGGCACGAACAGCCCATCAGATGGCCCCAAGACTGGCCAAGAGGGCACCAGGACGACCTAAGCTGCCCCCAAGACCGCCCTGAGAAAACCACAAAACGACCCAAGAGACACCCCCAGAAAGTCCGAGAGCGCCCCAGGAGGACCCCAAGACGTCACACAAAGGCTCCTCAGACGGCCTCCAAAGGCGTCCTGACAACCCAAAAGGCGCCCACATGACGCCCCTGCGGGCCTCCAAGAGGCCCTCGGGAGGCCTCCCCCTCATCCCCCTTCGTCCTCCTTCAAATGTTCCTCCTCCTCCTTCTCCTTCCCCTCCTCTTCCTCATCCTCCTCCTTCCTCGCCCAAATGTCCCCCCCCACGGTTTCCAAAACGGATGGGGGGAACATGTAATCCAATAGGCTGGCCAGACTTTGGCCCAACGTATGTCCGCATCTATGCTGCCAGAAGGCAGGGGGGGCAGCCGAGGTGCGCCGTAGGCGTCTTCGATACAACAGTACTCCAAGCGCGCCGCATACCTCACCACGAGACAGACTCTTCCATGGACTCCGAACGTGCAGTTAATTTCAGCCTCGCAGACCCAGCGCTGTGCGGCCTGGAACGGCTTGAGACACCACAGCTGTACAGTACGGGGAACAAGCTCGATGCTGAGAGACGCGTCGCTGGCCCAGCTCGTCCGCAACTCCAAGGCCACCTCTGAAGCCTACCCGCCGGGGCATCGCCAGGAGCCTCGTCGGTGGCCGCCAGGGCCTCCATGGTAGCCCGCGGGACACGTCGGGCCAAGACCACATTCTAGTAGCGCGCCAAGGACGAAGCAGAAAGCGTCGACATCCGACGCCATGGTAAAAGAACGCTTTCGTGAAAAACCAAAGGAGAGATTACGACACGATCTCTCCGAACCACCTTTCGAGCCAGATCGAACCGTGAGGGCCAAGGGACCGAGACGAGACAGCAGCGTCGATTGCCGCACGGCCATGCGGGACGCTCGTCTCCCAACCTCTCTCGCCCACCTTGCGTAAAAACCTGATCGGGCAAGAACGGGAAGCGCCGCTTTAGTCTAATGGGCGCATTGGGCGAAGAAGAAAAGGAAGGCGAGGGCAACGAGGAATCGATGACGAGGACGACGTGGCGAACGTGAGGATAGCGAGGAGGAGCATGAGGACAACGAGGAGGAAGAGAAGCATAAGGACGAGGACGAAGAGAACGAGGGCGAGTACGAGGAGGAATGCGGAGGGCGACGACGACGACGATGACACAGGACAGTAAGAGGCAATTGGAGAAAGACGCTGCTCCTGGCGCCGCGCGGAGTTGTCTTGGGGCCTGTTGGGGGCTTCTTGGGGGCCCCTTGGGTCATCTTATGGGCTTCTGGGATCTTCTTGGGCTGTTTGGGCGCGTCGTGGGGTGTTGTGGGAGCTTTCTTAGGCCGTCTCGGCGGCATCTTGGGCCGTCTTGCGGCTTTCTTGGGCCGTTTGGGGGCCTCCTGGGGCGCTCCCGGGAGTCTCTTGGGGCCCTCTTGGCCCTTCTCGGGCCGTCTTGGGGTTCTTGTGAGCTGTCCGGGTTGCTCCTAGAGTGCTTTTGGGGGTCTCTTGGGGTCTTCTTGGGGCGCTCTTGGGCGCTCCTGGGGCTCTCCGGGGCGTCTGTTGGGCCTCCCTTGGGCCCCTGGAAAGCCCTCCAAGAGCGATTCGAACACGACGTCGATTCGGAGTCCCCTCTTGGGCCGATGTTTGGAGGATGTCTAAAGCGAAACGGCTATTTTTCAAAAATCCGCCAGCGTGGTTCCAAAGTGCGCCCCGTACCCCATCATTAATTTCTACCACCAACAAACGGTCCACGCCAAGGGCGCTTCAGTGCTTCCCGTCATCCGCCACCGTGCCCCGATGGCAGGTTGGGGCGTGCTAGAATGCCAGGTGCTGTCTGGTATGGTGTGTGGTTTCCTTGCTCTCCTGTATTTCTTGAACAGAACAAAAAAGCCCCCCCCCTCGGGTAGCGCCCAGGGGCGTGCACCCCCCTCCCCCCCCTCCCGAGGCCACAACCCCTCGCATAATGCGACCGCGTCGCGCTCCAGAGGCCCAGATGCCTCCAAGACGACCCGATACCGTTCCAAGACGGGCCACTTTGGCCTCAAGACGGCCCACGAAGCATTCGAGGCGTCCCAAGAGAGCCCCACGAGCCTTCCCAAGAGGGCCTCGAGAGGCAAACATCTGTGATTGTCCGTAGGTTGTTCTAATGTTTCGGATTCTCGCCAGTTCGAGCGTCCGACGTCCCAAGAGGCCACCAGGACTGCCCCGAGACGACCTATCAGGCCCCCAAGAGGATCCCAGAACGGCCCAATAGGGATCCAAGACACCAAGACGGCCCAAAGAAGGGCCCTAGAGGGTGAACACGAACCGACAATTCGAGCTTCCCGCCCCAAGAGGCCCCGCCCCAAAATGCAAAAAGAGGCCCACAAGAGGCCCAAAGAAGGTCTCGAGAGGCCAGAACTACTGATGTTCCTTTGCCTCTTCAATGCTTTAGGGGCTCTCGCCTTTTCGAGCTTCTGGCGAACCAAAACTGCCCAAGAGGCCCCCCTAACTCCACCGAAACGGCTCAAGAGGCCCCCAAGAGAGCTCTCACACGACCCACGAGGGCTGCAGGTTGGCCTCAGAGGCGCCCAAGGCTGCCCAGGAGGGCTCCAAGACGGCCCCAAGAAGGGCCCAAGAGTGGGAACACGAACCAAGAATTCGAGCCTTCTGCCCCAAGAGGCCCCCAGCAGGCCCCTCGCGTCGTGGAAAAAGTCGCGACAGCCGGTTCGGATTTTTTCGACCTCTAGGAGCCGCCTCCTGGCCCCAGACCGTCAACATTAAAGGGCCCCGGGGACACACAAATAAACACGCACGTACACACAAATCCCAGGATTCCCCATATGTTCCTACAGTTTCTGGATGCTCGTCTTCCTCCCACTTGCCACAGTTTCCCATATTTTCCCGAGAATCAAAGATTGATTGTGCCTGTGCATTTCCCAATCCTGAAACGTACAGCTCGGGGTGGAACGCTGGTCCTGGGGAAGGGGTCAAGATCTCGGGACGCCCACGCAGTGCAGAAGTGACGGCGTCGGGTGTCCGGGGCCCCGTGCAGTTGTTGACGCGGGGCGCTAAAGACGGCAGACAGGGACTTCCCTTCGGCACACCCTCGCCCTCGGTCGCGACCTCGTCGGAAGGCCGGCGGAGGTGACAGGGCGGCAGGCCCGCCGGCGGAATGACTGGCCAGTCTGACTGTGCGAGCTGGCGCCCTCTCGCCTGCGTCACTTGCCAGCAGGCTGGGTCCAAGAGCGGCGGGGGAGTACGCTCCTTGCCTTCTCGAATAGATGCCACCCAAAATGCTCTGCGCTGGCGCAGTGGCGGAGTTGCCGGAGGCGGCTGCGCGACCCAAAAACTAACAAGAAATAAGCTCAGACAACGTGGCGGCATTCCTTCGGGTCGATCCAGCATGCTCTGTCGTGTGATGTGGTCATGTGCGCCAGCATGCACATCCGCCAAAACAAAACGATACAAATCTCCCACATCAGCAGAAATAGTTGTACTACACATGACATAGATTTGTGTACCGACCCGCGGCCAAACAGTGCAGAACTCACACAAAGAAGAACAAACACACAAATTGGTATCGGCAACGTCCGAGATGCATCTGTGACGTCGGCGATGCATCTCAGCCATCGGCGCGGAGGAAATCTGGCTCCACATCGAGCCGCATCACCGATGCGTCGGCGATGCGGTGCGATCCTCTTGGAGGGCCAGCTGCGACAACAGCGGATCTCGCGCCCTGCCGAAATCCGCGCAAAATCAATCGCCGGACCACTCCTGGGGCCCATCCTGACCTGTTTTTGGCGGCGCTCACAGGGGGGTAGGGGTAGGGGTAGGGGGGAGGCTTCTTAGAAGGAAGCTGCCTCTTAGAAAGCGCCGGCCCTACACCTTTAGGTACGGCCCGAACCTTCTAAGACGCAGGGGTGCTGCGTCCATCCTGACCCGTTCTTCGAGCGAGAAGCCTCCAGAAAGGCCCCAAAGAAGGACGAGACACGCCCGGGAAGGCCGCTGCTATCACGAATGGCCCTCATGCGACCCATCTACCGAGATACTGCAGTCGTGACTTCTTCAAAACTTGGCCACCCAGAGGTCTGGATAACGAAGCCAGGACGATGATCAAATCGGGTGCGGATAAATTGAGAATCTCTGCGATCTGGCGGCTCTGGAGGATATATCGGTCGTCGCGGCCTTCTCAGAGCGGTCTGGAATGCTCTGGAACGGATTCATCCTCGTCCTGACCCCGTCCGACTTGACCTGTTCTCTGGGACTGGTGTTTCGCCCCGAGTCGTTTTGGACAGTCCTGGGGCCGACGAGAGCCCTCAGAGACCGACGATGGGAAGAAACTCGCCGTCGTGTCTTTTTCGCAGCTCGAGGGGGTCTGGGTCCCCGGGTCCCCACTAGGCACTAGGCGGCGACACTCGACCCCGACCCCCACCAACTCTCGATGGGGGTCTAGGGTGGGGTTCGGATTTGGCAGCGTTCGACGAATTCCGAACCCTGCCCCCACCGCCCATCGAGTTGTCTGAATCGTTGATCGGCGAGGGCAGGAGCCAAGTTCACCGCCGAGCGAGGGGGTCTGGGCACCCGGGTCCCCATCGGGGAGGCCTGACAGAGGAAAGGGGCCCAGGGACACACAACGAAGTAGACACGAATCCCAGGATTTCCCATACGTCCCCCATTTTCTGGATGTTCGCCCTCCCCGCCACTTCCCCCATTTGCCAGGCTTTCCTGGGGGTCGACGACTACTTATGCCTGCGTGTTTCTCCCCCCCCTCCCGCCTGATCTCGGGGCTTTGCCCTCTCTTGGCCTTGACGTGAGCCCCCGCCTTCTTTTTTCCGTCCTCTGTTAATTAAAGCTGTGAGCGGCCCGCTTAGCTTCGACCGGAAGAGGCTCGCTCTCGCCCCGCGGATCAAAAAGTGTTCCGTCCCTCCCCTGACAGAGAGATCGCTGCGGGGACCCCGCCTGCGCTCCGCCGCGCGCACCGCCGCCGCACCGCCCGTGCGGCAGCGGGCCCCGCGCGCGCGGGCGCGGGCGCCGCCCCGCGCGCCCGCGGCGAGGACCGAGGGGGCGACGCGCGCGCGGGCGGCGCTGGGGCGGCGGGCGCTGGCAGCAGACCCCTCGTAGCTCCTCTCGGCCCTCGGCCCTCTCACGAGACAGGACTTAGCAACCCGAGGAGGGCAGTCAAGAACGAAGACCAAGCAACGCGAGAAAGGCAGTCAAGAGACAAGACCAAGCAACTCGAGGAAGGCAGCCAAGAGGCAAGATCAAGCAACGCGAGGAAGGCAGCCAAGAAGCAAGATCAAGCAACGCGAGGAAGGCGGTCAAGAGACAAAGCATCCCCGAGGAAGGCCAACAAACGCAAGCCTTGCACCCACCGTTTCTCTTCATAATCAGATAAGGACCCCTTCGGCAAGACAAATTTAGGAAAAAGGCGGGCGGGACGGGGAGATGGGCAGCGGAAGCCCAAGACGAAGCCAGGACGAGGATGACATCGGACAAAGATAGATCGAGAATCTCTGAGATACGGCGGTTCTGGGGGCTGTATCGGGCGCCGCGACCTTCTGAGAGCGTTCCAGAACGCTCTGGAACGGACTTATCCTCGCACCAGTCCCGTCCGAAAGCCGAGAGGTCGAGGGCACGCTCGCCGGCCTGAGGTAGTTGTACTTCTTGAGGAGGGAGTTGTGCTTCTCGAGCGAGAACACACCGTACCTGGTGGATCGGGCGGGAACAGCGGCACACCGGTGTCCTGCCGTCCTGAGCTATGCTTGGCTCCACTCGAGTACTTCTTGATGACAGTGGGCGCTCCATCCCAATAGAAGCAGGGAGTAGAGCCGCG